CAGAAGATCTAGACCTAAATACTCTCCAAAATTAAGAAAATATCACTATGATTAAAACCAAACTTTGATATCACTGTAGGTGATCTTTTCCAAAAGCCCGCTACCTACTATAAAATGCTTGTTAAAAACCCCACTTATCTTCACTCGAAGCAAATGAGTACACCCATTTGTCTGTATACACTGAACAAATCAGCAGAATCATGATCACTCTGAATGTCAAAGAATCTGTTGATGAAAACACCTTTCTTTGGTAACCTCACTGTCCACTGCTGGAGAAGGAGCTGGTAAGCCCTCAGAGGGACCTCACTCTTACACTAAAAAATGTGTATTATAGGGTTGGTAGCTACTTGATACTGCTTCTTTTGAACGAGAAATGCAGAGAATCAAATCTCAGCTCAGATATTCGAGGGCTCACTCAGATTTTCAAGAATTCAAGCTAGCATCTCAAAACCAAATCTCTAAGAAAGCAGCCCACACATTCTGATTTTCTTAAAATTTTTATATTTGTTCAAGTCCTAGAAAACAAACAATGCTTCAAAAATACCTGACATAAAAGATAGGGCATGTCACCCAGACGTTCAGAAGGAAGAACTTCTAGGGTGTGATTCATCTCATCACACAGACTCACAATCAGATGAGAGGAATTCCTCCCTGGGAGTTACACGTACTTGCTATGTTGCTTCTTTGCAAGCTTGCATACCATCGAGGTCCATGTTACCTTTTAATACCTTGTAATGTTGAATTAATTCTCATGATGAAAAGAAGGCAATGTTTCAGTAGGTTTTCTTCATCAATTCATATGCACATCCATTTTTCATGAGAAAAACAAGGTAAACATACAAATGCCAACCTGCTTGCACTTGGTCAAAGTGCGTGTAGAAAATGGATCCGCAATTATGGGGAAAAATTTAAAAGTGCCTCAAATATTTCATTCCCTAGCATGTTTTGAAATGCCTCACTGGAGATGAAGCGGTTTTGAAATGCGAGGCTCAATTGAAAAAAAAGAAATTTTTTTTGGCAGGACACTGTTAGTAGCATTTAAATGATTATCTTGATTAAATCTAAATTTACTTAAGAACAGTACTGGACTTTATATTGTTATCATTTGCCTAACAGAAACACAAATATGAAGGCCACTTCTACATAAATGCAAAAGCACACAAATACAATATATCTGCAGTCCAGAAACTTTTCCATTCTTTAGTGCTTGAGATGTTTTGACCTATGACCCACATATGCTTCTAGCACCTATTTTTCCAGCCCAAAGATATCTGGAGAAAGGAAGACTCACACACTTCACATCACCCCCTTCACTACGCATCATTCCAGTTATTGAATAATACAAGACAAACAGTGACCTACTTTAGAAAAGCAGATGAAAAGAAAATGAAAACAAGATACATGACAAGAGCAAGGAAACCATGGTAACTACGACAGGCGACTGCTTTGCTTACTTTATTTTGGCCAGAATGATCAGCGAGCTGAGCCTTCAGCTCTACAATTTCAGCTTCTAACAGGCGAATTACTTCTTCATAGTCCATCTCCATCCCACGAGCCTGCCTTTGTGCAGCTTCTGCAAGATGAATCCTACTTCGCAGGGCTCTTGTCTCTTCTACCGCTGCCTTGGCTTCCTACAGATGATAGCATTTAATTGAAAACTTACAACATCAACTAACAAAGAAGTACAGATTCATCTCAAAAGTACTGCAGCTGGCATTAGGGCTACCTTTTATATTTATGGTTAGATGGTTCAATTGATGATTTTTAAATGTAGTACGTGCAAACAAAGAACAGGTATTTACAGACAGATAATTTTCCTAATAAATTAAATCATTAATTCTATGATTACTGTAACTCTAACTGAATGAAAGGTTTTATAGAAATGCACCTGATGCTGTTAATCTGCCCCATCACTTCCATACTAAAGAAGTACTTTAATGAGATGTTATTTCATTTTATTACTATTGTCTGAATTCACACTCAATTCAGAGTCCGCACATCATGTAGACAGACTTCCAATGCGAGCATTCAGTCCACACTGTGCTCAAAACAAGTGATGGTTTTTATTTTTCTGCCTAGTTCCTGCTCTTATATTGTTATCCTCTATTATCACAGAAGAGTGTTACATAAAATTTATATATAAATAATGTACAGAAAACAGGAAATTTGAAAATGTTAGCTTTTAATTCAGCTAAAGTATTCCCTAAATGTTGTAAAATCTGATTTTGAGAAGGATACTGCTCGATTCATTTTACTACTGAATATTAATTCAAGTGAACTTTGATTTGTAAATTTAGAAAGTCAAACTAAAGGTCTAGACAACAGATGAGTTTACACTAGGAAAAAAAACAAACAAAGTGCTAATCAAATATGTAGATATACAGGCTCACGGCACCAAAACCAGTAAACCATCTTTCCCCTTAGCTTTCCATTAGTCTGTGGAAAAAAGTCACTTTATATGAATTTTCTGAATCATTAAAGTTATAAGCTTTAAACATACAAATTCACAGATCCGGCGAATCTTTGTATGATTCCTCAGGTAAGGATACTTAGGTGAATATCCTATTCCTAGTCTACCTATTATATCTTATTATTGTAACTGTATCCTGGTTGGGAATGGAACTAGAGGGGAAACAGGTAGGGGTAGAGGAGAAACACACTATGAATCTATAATAAGTAGGAAATAATCTTCTAGAAACTAGGCTTGAAATCACTGTTTCTGAAAAACCTAAATGGCCAAATCTTCCTATTTTTGTGGAAGAAACATCATATAATATTTAACAGGTATTATAATATAGGTGTCTAGAGAGGTCAGTTAAGCTTACAAAACTTAGAAGCATTTGTTCTGTGCAACCGACGTCCTTCGTCAGGTTTTCATATACCTTATTGTAATGTTTTTCTGCAAAATGATCTACCAATCTTGGTTTCAGGTGACTTTTAACCTGTACACTGTTAGTCTTAATAAACAACATATATTTATTTCAGGCTGTAAGTAAACTAATCTCAATGACATATATAAAGGACATCGTCTTCCTCGCATTCACAATAGTTTTGCAACATAATACCGATCCGGATGACTGCCAGGGACATTCTGGTCTCTTAGAAAATAAAGCATTAGAAGAAGTAATCACACATGTAGCAAACAGCAACATCATCGGTGCTACATAGTTTAGAGGTTCCTGTTATAGGACACAAGCGGTAAGAGATATGCTTCAATAACCTTTAATTTGACAGCAAGTATAATGATTTTTTTTTTTTTTTTCGGAACATTAAAGCATGAGGTGAACCTGTTCTACGTGATGATCGTCTCTACCTGGAAACAGACTATTCAAAAGCTTATTGCTGTAGGTCTTTCTGTGATTTGGCCAGCTCGTTTTACAGCTGTCTGTTCGCACAGCACTGCAGCAGGGCAAGGGGCCATTACTGAAAGCACTCACTGCAAGACCACCTGAACAATCCACCCCTCCTGCAAGCTGCTCATTGCTGCTCTTTTTCCTAGAAACAATTCAGAGAACACAGGGGCTTCTAAGAAGTTATGAATCTACAGAAGTAGAGGTCAAAATTACTGCCTCTGTCCAGAGCATTTTCTTGCCACTGTAAGAAAGAGCGTCACTCAACAGCGAGGAAGGCTGGGCTCTACTGATACAAAGGATGACTGGGCAGCCTTCAGTGGCAAAAGTATCCTTCAGTAACAGGCTGGAGGTGGGAAAAAGGCTCTTGGAGACAAAAATGAAAAGATGCTCTGATGTTAAGTTTGACTAATATAAATGAACGCAGAGGCCTTGACAAAGGGTGGCACCTTAAAAATGTACGTGCAGGAATTTTTAAATAAACTGACACCAGAAAAGTCATGGGAAAACTGCTATAATGAAAAAGGAGGTCTTCATTTTGAAATAAGACCTCCTTGAGATAAAGGTTTAATCTCTTACAATCCAGAACTGCCTTTACTCCTCCATTATTCTTCCAGAACAGCAATTGCTAAATATTAATTTCTCTGTAATAGCAGACTAAGTACGACCAGATTTCAACAGTGAAAGACCTAAAGGAATAATTAACCAACAATGGATTCTTACATTACAATGAAATGATTATCCACACTACAACTGAATTAGCAAAATTTTCTGACAAAGCAGAGCTGTTTGCTAGAGCAGGGAGGCACAAAGGGAAACGATACCATCAGGTTTCCCCATTCTACAGGTAGTGAAGCTGCCACATGGTGGGTTCTCTTACTTGTGCAGGTAAGGGGCCCTCACCAGTGAGGAACAGATGGATAACAGCATGCTTCAGCAACATTCTCTCTTGCCCCATTCAACTGCTTGTATGAAAGAAGATGCAACAGATATGGAATCTGGAGCTGCTGATATTTCATCTTTATAACGCCCATAGGACCGTTTGTCCTAATCTGGTACGAAGCCACTACGACAAATAAGAAACTGCAGACTGGAGGAGAGAAACTGAACCCTTACAGAATCAGTTTCAGGGTACAGGTTTCTTTCGAAGCCAGGTTCTACTTCTTCCTTAGATAAATTCAAGTGTCAGGAGAACGTTTCATTTGAGTAATATTCCAGCCACCACAAACACTGGAACAAAGGTATTCTTTTAAACTATGTGAAAAATTGTAGTTACAGTTCAATTATGTTTATTCCTTAATTTAACAAAAATTGCATGCTGAAAACACCCTTTAAAAGAACTTTGAGTATCTTTACTATATATTAAAATTAAAAAGCTAATGAAATAAAAATAAACCAAGGGTTTATTCAGGCAGGGTGAAATAAATTATATACTGCTTCCAAAACAGCAGCTATTCAAGTCCTGGTCTTCAAAGCACCTCTTTTCCCCTTAGAAAAAATAAGCATAGAATAGCAAATCTTAGCCCTAGGAAATAAAAGTCCAGCACTATGGGATACCACAAACTGTATCCTATCTTTACGACCTTTCACATTTACTATGTTTAGCTGAGGTGCTTCAGCTGATAACAACAGCATAATAAAAGCTCTAGTAAAGAAGGGATCATTCAGGTTGGTACGACCCAGCACTTCCAGGCAGCACAGTGCCTTTCTGTGTTTTGTGCCAATTTCAGCTTCCACAGGATGTAAAGGAAGACCCAAAGATAGTGCTATATCACAATCTCAAAAATATATCAATTAATATATTTTTTCATACACCAACAGTAGAAAATAATTACTACTTCATTTCAAATTTAGCACTATTTCTAGTCTTAAGAGTTTGTTTATCCTGTTAGCTACTGATTCAAGCACTGTTTAATGAATCAGTACTAACAAAACATGTTCATCAACCAGAATATTTGTATGCCTGTCCTAATTAAGCTGTACTCTCTGCAATTCACAATTAGTAGACAATGGAAATACCACAAAAGGTTCTCCAATATATGACTGGTAGCCTATAAACTAATTTAAAACCTTATTTTTTCAGGAAAGGAGTGGTTAAAAAAAAAAAAATCTTTAAAAGCTGTTGAATTCAGAAGACCTTAAGCATATACGTAAGTTGGTTTGTTTGTTTACTTTTCATCAGGCCATTAGGGCTCATTAGTGTACTCATTAACTCATTTCACTAACTTCAGCTCATTAGGAATGCATCATCGTAAGTTAAATGGCAACTTGCACTGGAAGTAGCCTATTTTTTTCTAAACTTCGTATCACCATGACTCTCAGTGTCAACATTGGTTCTGAACTAACAAAATACATGTAAAACACTGGAAAATGCACCAAGTATAAGCAGAATGAACATTTCCATTAAAAGCCTGCTTGTATCTCCTAAAAATAGGTCGCACAGTACTGTAACCACATGTAATTTACCATTTCTCTTTCATTTCGCTATATGGAACCTTTTCAACAGCAGCTACTTAAAATGCTTACTAGAAAATCAGAGAATTTATGCCCTGGAGGTTTGTGCTGCAAAGCTGACCTTCACCACCACGTGACAGTACTTGAGAGAAAACTAAAAGTACGAGGACCTCGCGTGGTGGGAAATGGGCTTTGCTGCCCCTTGAACCAGCCCATCTCAAACCACCGCTGTCCGGCCGAGCCTACCTTCCCAATCAGAGCAAGTGTGAGAATCGAAACACTCGATGCTGAGGACCTGACGTCCACACTGTTCGCATTTTGGGGGTTGTACTTCGCACTAGCTTTAGTCTAGGCTGATGGACTGAGCATCAGCTCTAGCCTAGAGCAACAGACCAAACACCCACTAGTGAATGGAAACAGGAGGTGCACTACTGGAATATACTTCCAGTTAAATTTTATCCAAAAAAAAGAACCCAATGTATTTCCTTGCTGTCCCAAAGCGTACAGATGGCAACAACACAATACCAATGGAAAAAGCTTTCGAGCAGCTCTCTTACATTCTAGGAATAAAAGGTGATAACGAAGGTGCTGAACAAACGTACATATACAAGCAAAAATGTAAAACTAATCTTAATGTAACAGTAGGTGGAAAGGTTTTTAAACTGCACCTTGCATTTTTATGTATGACATCTGATGGAACAGGTAGCCCTGACAAACCTACAAGGAACACGTGCAGCAGCACAGGAGAGAAGAAAGGCAGCCAGCTCATAAGAACAAAACAGCTGATGGGGTGATGTTCAGTAAAGCATGAAACTTGAAAGTTACTTGGTTTTGAATCCAGGCTATAAACGATGTGAGGCTTATGTATAACCGGAAATTTCCTTTGAGAGACACAAGAAGGCTAAATTTCATAAGAAACTCTGACTTCTTCTCTCATAATTACAGATAGATATGGAGACAGAACACTTACTACCATTTTTTTTCCTGGTAAGTACCAGGTAGAATTGTCAAGCGTGTCTATTTTTTCACAGTTAAAACTCTGGCTGACATGTAAGTAGCAAACGTTAGGACTGCAGATTAGGTACATTGTTCCACAATCACTTCAAGAACACTTAAGACCAGAAAGGTACTACTACATTATTATCCAAATGATAATAATTACGGTTCCTACCTCATTTGAATAGCAGAGAATTATTACTGCTCTAAAAACTTAAGGATCAATATTCTCTAATTGTAATCAAAAGCTTTGTAGTAACAGAAGAACCCCTTTGTGTTGAAATCAGTGTCACAGTATAGTCTCTATAAAAGCATCAAAAGAGAAGGAAGTGCTTCCTTCTCCCTCCCACAAAAAAACCCATTAAAAACCCCCAAAAGGTAATAATGATATTTTTAAGAAACTTCAACATACTTGCTTTACTACTTGTAGCTCCTCTGTTAACTGCTTCTGTAAATTCACAGATTCAGACAATTTTTCCTGTTTAAAAAAAAAAAAAAAAGGAAGAAATAATTAATATTTAGGTCTGAGAGAGCTTCTATTCCTAAAACCCAATTAGCTTTTTCAAAACTACAGGCAGCAATACTTCTATCAATGTACATACTGCCTTCTGTACAACTGCTAGGTTTCTGGGTCACAACAATAATGCTGTCTAATCAGAAACACAGGATTAAAAAATTCTGGTGGCAATGATAAATAATCAAGAGCTTTTATAAAACCTTTGACAAAACCAAATTTTAATCTCTAAAAGCTAGTTTTTCAGGAAGTTCATTGATACTGTTGAAGTTTCTTGAGCACCTGAGGATTATTTACTGAAAATTTCTGCGACGTAAGTAAAATACACCTTTTGAAACTCTTGTTACCTAAACACCTACAAATGTGCAGAATAAAGACATTTTTGGGGCTTTAACAGATTGCTGTACAACCTAATATTCACGTCAAGTTATTTTCAACACTGTATGTTTGACCATTCTTTCACTCACCTACTTATACCAGAAGCCTGCATATAAACCACTTTCAGAAAGTCAAAAGTTCTAACGAAGCTTTTAAAAAAAAAAAAAAAAAAAAAAAGGGCTATAAAAGCATAAAGATTCTCATCCCGAGTCAGACCAAGGCTGTTTCTCTCTCACTCAGTATCAAGTATTTGACTGTAGTTTGTTAAGGGAAGAGTGTAGGAAATGAGACAATTATAGATTGATCATTCCCAGTTTTCAACATCAGCAATTTAGGGACTCATGGTAAGTGTTCACCACTTCCATGTAAATCAGGTTCTTCCATTTCAGTACAAAGTTTTCAGAAAAAGAACCTTTGTGCACAGAGCAAAGAACAGATTTTTTGGGCAGGTCAACCCAATGTTTTTGTAACTTAGAGCAAGAAAGAATTTTTTTTTGGATGAGAAGGCACTTTGTAGAATTGCCTGTACCCTGGGATCAATTTTCCAGCCCTGTCCAAGAACAAGAGTTACGTATGCTGAACAGAGAACTGGAATTTTTTATCCTTTGAGTTGTCAAAAAACAGATTAAGGAGCATAGGACTGTGGTTGTATTAAGAAACGATATATTTGTTGCTTTAGGTCTTACGTATTTTGTAAGGTCTATGAGAATATGTATTAATTTTGAAAACAGATTAATTTATCCTCCAGTTCTGACTTCTTCCAAAAGTATTAGCATATGCTCAGACACTTCAGTTACTAGGATCACACATTTCTAAATAAACTTGCTATGCAAATCAGTCACTTCTCCAAATTCACTTTTGTGAAACGTCTGCTTAGGCTTATTTCTCTGTGAATCAGCTTTAAAAATGTTAGTATTCAGTATAACAAATAAAATTCTCCGTCTCCAGAAAGATATTGTAAGCATACAAACTTCAAACATAATTAGGACTGTTTGCTCTGCCTTTTTATTTATTCATCAAAAATTGCACACAAAAAAATCAAAAGAAAAATAGTAAATTACTATATACACTCAAAAAGAAATTAGTCTCTTGAATAATTTAAAGCAAATAAAAATTAACTATTACCTTTAATTCACTCATTTCTTTTAAAGCTTCATTTCTTTCTTTCTTAAGTCTTTCCATGTCATCCTCCAAAGAATCACAGGTTACAAACTGTGCATATTTAAATACGTAAGGTTAGAATGTGTTGCTAACTGTATATTCCACAATCTTTAACATCTTAAAAGGTCTTGTTAATAAAATGAGAAGATTATCTTAATTTTAAAATAATTTAAAGCTCTAAAAATACTAAAAATGCTTAAGAAAATTCTGACCAGCTTATCATCTAAAGGAATAATTATTTTTCCTGTTAAAAAAGATCAATAAAAATATTTTAAAAGTACCAAGAATACAACACTCAGAACCCCTGTGTTCTGCAATATTTTAAATAATTCGTAATTTAATTTTAGTGTTCCTATGCCGCAAATGCTCTTTCTTAAAGTCACCTCTAGAATAAAGTGATTTTCACTGTAGCAGTAGTTCAAATCACTGGGCCCAATAACTGTTTATCGCTCACACAGGTAGTAGCAATGTGTGTTCCATTAAGAAACCTCAGCAAATCACTGTTGTCCACACAAACCACAACATAATTAGACGAATTGCTTTCTGCAAAGTAGGTTGTTTTAAAAAGCTTCACAGAAACTAGGTTACCTTAAAGAACACCGTGATATGGAGCTGTTCTAAACATCTGCCCAAGATTTGGAGTAATCTTACACATAATAAGCTTTCCAACCATCTCCTCCCAACAGTTAAACACTGTACAGGCACATGTTATACCTGGGAATCCAGTAAGCCAGCAATTTCATTGATCCCAAATGTTACAGATTTTTGGCCATCATCTGTTGCATTCAAACGCGTAGCGAACAGGCTCCTTGAAACTTCCATGAAATCTAAAAAACAGTTTAGATTTTGTTGCTGCGGCCTACAAGTTGAGCTCAGTAGCACTATCACTAGCTGTGACACAACTACTAACGTCACAATGGACGGCTGCTCTTGTAAATGCAGCATCTACCCTCCGTAAGCTTTCTAAAGGAAAATATGAAAATCAGACATCTCTTTGAACAGAGACATTTGATAAAGCTGGTAAAAATAAAAATGTTCAAAACAGGTCTTGGGATGAAATATCCCTGAATCAAGCTGTGAAGCAGAAAAGGACACAAAAGGTGGCGTGAAGTTCACCTTCAAAGTACCGTGTTAGAGCTGCTCTACATTTGGCAGACCCCTGTGAAAAATCAGAAGAAATCTGCACACCTGTTATACACCTGCCTGTCCCAAAGAATCGACCTTACTAGAGGAGACACAGTGTCTCTGCAGGAAAAAGGAAAAATTCCGTGCTAGCTCACAGCTCATAGTTTCCATTGCAGGTCCTTTAAACCCCTGACAGAGACCTGGTAGAAGTGATGTTGATCAAGTTGAAAGTTTTAAATACAAACACTACAGCATTCTCAATCGATGTGGCTTGGATTACCCATTCATTCTGAATGTATAAAAAAAAATTCTGCTACAATATTTCCACGATGTGGCTTGGATTACCCATTCATTCTGAACGTATAAAAAAAAAAGTCTGCTACAATATTTCCGCAATATGAAAAGTGGAAATACAAAGGTCAGTTTGTTTACACCACACAAAAGCTAATGGAAGATCCAGTATCTTTCTTGGAAGGTACTTGAAAATCCAGCGTCTTTTTGCATGGTTAAGTACAAGAAACTAATTTTCATATATTAATGTTTGATACCGGTTTTCATAAACTTTTTTTGGATGGCTAAATACAAGAAACTAATTTTGATATACTCATGTTTGATTCTGTTTTTCATAAACTTTAGGAAAAGTGAAATTTCCATCAGTTTTAGCATCAGAACTATCATGTCTCACATTTATGAGAAAAATTCTTAAATTGGTACCAAAATTGTCATAACCAATAGAAGCAACTCATCCCCATCAGAAGTAGGTTTAGCTAGAAGAACCACGATGGTCTCTATGCAAATCTCTTTCTAGATGCACTAGTTGAAATGTTCTTGCTGCTAAAAAACTAAACCAGTTAAATAATCTGTCAGTTCAGCTGCTTCAAGAAGTCTCTTTAACCATCAATACTCTCCCAAGTCATTTTTGGAGCAATTACAGTACCCTATTGTCAAGGCAAAAATTTATGAATTTGTGAGCACAAAATCAAAACTTTCTCAAGGCTGCTCTTAATTAGATAAATTAGTGATTTGCTTTCTAATGAATTAGTTTCAGAATTCCAAGCTTTTATACAGCAAAATAAGGTTCTTGCCTCAAAATATCATTCTATTTGCAGCAGCAATCCAATACTGACAGAAAAGATATTAATGGTTGTTATCTATCATTTCAATATTCCTACATTTCATTATTTTAGATAGTAATTAACAAATTATTACCTCCAAAAGACACTGTTCCTTTAGAATCTTTCTGAAGTTGCTGCCTTAGGGCTTGCTGCTGTTCATCTGTGGGCTGAATCCCGAGATAATTCAATGCCTGGAAGGAGAAAACTTATTTTGGAGGAAAAAAAAAAAAAAAAAAAGAAAAAAAGAGACAAGACTAGGGATAATGACTACAGGGACATGGGGGAGTAATTAAAGAGCTATACTTCAAAGAGCCTTTGTATCATAGTATACTCTCACTGACAACACTTTTATTCCAGAGACACTCTGTAACTTTTCCTTCTAATTGAGAGATGTTCAGATATTATTTAACCTTGAATACAGATGAGTGTAGTAAGAAAAACCCTTTGTCCTTAATAACTGCCTTAAAAATCCTGAGAGATGTTCAGATTCCCAGAAGAGTTAATCAGTAATTAGATTAACAAAAACAGTAATTTGCCCAATATATAAAATGAAATATTGGCCTGCAACCTGAAAGATCTAGACTAGTATAAAATTTGGTGCATAATTTATACCTTAAAGTTTGTCAGCCTAGAAATATTCTCCAGATGTTTTACATGCATCATGAAGGGGGAAAAAAGAAAACTCAAAAGATTGTAAGTATTTACCCTCTCCAGCTTTTCTGCTTTGAGACGAACAGTAGAGTTCCTTCCTTGCAGCTCATAATCATCATTCTGGCTAGGTGCAAGAACTAAGAAAAAAAAATTAAAATTAAGTAACGATATAGTTCTAACTATTGCTTTGAAAAATTTGTTCTGAAGCTCTGCTCATCAAATGGCAGCTAAACATCCACTTGCCACAAATACATGCTAATATTTAGATTGACTCCTTTTTTTAAAAGGACATAACGGTAAAAAACAAAAATTATGGGTCTATCAATCACTTAAACTATTTTTTCACATTAAAAAGTGACAAGTAGCAAATTAGCAGAAAGAAACCAGGAACAACTGAGCGATCCATCAAGCATATGGCTTATCCTTGTGGTATTTTCTCTTTTCTCAGAGATACACAGTTACTCTGGAAACAGAAGAGGAAACACACTTGTGAATTCCAAGAAAGACCTTCAAGACACACCCTCAGCATAAGCAACAGCTCCCAAAAGCATATCTAGGGATCTAGAAAACACTGTGGAAAGAGAGGGAATGACCTGTTGCCAACTAAGGGCTGTATGAAGGCAGCTGAGACTGAATTCCAGGAGGCTCCTCAGTACTTTTTTCGTGGGGAGGAACTCTTTTCCAAGAGCTCCCATCCATTAAACCATCCCCTCCTCTCCAGCCCGTATAGTCAGGAATACAAATCTGCATAATTTTAGCCAGTTGCATTAATGACTTATGTGCATTTATTTTCTTTCCAACATATACAAATGATTAAACTGAGGAAAGGAAAAGAAGGTAGCAGGACTAAGCAGTCCACACACAAGATTTCAGAATACTGGCACTTTTTTTTCATGTGTTTTGCTTAGTTTTAATGGAACTTGAGAAGTGCAGTCACAGCTTGGTCATTTCAGCCTCGCCTGTGGACACAACACCAGAAGCAGCAACCTTTGGAAGCTTTTGATCACAGACAGCAGGCAAAAGCAGCAGTTCACTATCAATTTCTTAGGATTTCAGGTGTATGCAAATAGAACAAACTCATTGACTTGTGTTTTGCAGAAGAAAACTAAATTCTTGTTTGCATACATCATTTATAAATGTAATTTAGATCTTAATTCATGATTTCATTAATGGACTAGAGAGGTACTGAAACCAAAACCAACATTTGGAAACTAAAGGATCTTGCACTTTGAGACTCTCTCTAAAGGAACAGAAGGAATTGCACAGAATTTTTTTTTCCGTTTCACAGCATATCTGTTTCCAAGCTCAAAGTAATTTACATTCTCTTTATATGCCAAAAGCATAAACCAAAACATCTTGAAAATCTTTAACACTAACACCTCTCACATGCTATATTAAATTCTGAAGGCAGTGGGCTAGAACCTCAGCTGAATTGGCACACTTCCTTTCAACTCAGAATGAAAAAGCCTCGTGTATGACTTTGTGCAAGAATTTCTCAAAATTACACTGATTTTTCTTACAGCGTTTAAAAAAAAATAATCTAAGAGCCTCTTTAATTTTTCAAGGTTATCTTTGAAAAGTTATCCTTAAAAAAAGGGCAGCATGAGAGAAGTTGCCGCTTTGATTAAGGAAGTGCTATTAAATAAGACTAAAAAGAAAAATGACAAGAAACAGCACAAACTGGAGCTGCAAGTATTTCTGCTTTCCACTCCACTACCTACGTTATTCAGATATGTTAAGAAACTGTGGCCTTCTTGGACTCTTTAAGCAACAATGAAGCTCCTGCATCTTGCATTGTATTAACCAGTATAATTATATGTATTATAATAAATATAAATATTAATTTATACTCTAAATATATTCAAAAATAGCCTTTTGTCTCGTTCCTCTGATTTACTTGTGGCATTTTTCATGATAAACGTGGAAAAACTGTGTGATCGTTAAACTCCAGGTGTATTCAAGGCTACAGCCTTTCCAGTTTCAAAAGCTCGCATGCAGTCAGCTCACCCTTCAAGGAAGGAAGCCAGCTGGTCACATTTGGAGGCTGTTTCACTTAAACTAGGACATCCAATATGGGCCATAATAAATGCAGGTACAATTTAAATTACAGCAGCGGAGCAACATCTAGAATGTATGTTTGTCCTTCCTCTTCTCAGTGTATCAGACGTCAAGTTGAGAAGCACGGGTTACACTTACTTACTACTGCCTCAAGAAAAAGAATATCGTTCCAGTCTTCACATAGACTCTCATTATTATGTCAGACTGCTGCACTTTCACTGTTTGTAAATAAAACTCGTATTTGTTTCCCCAAATGAAGCACAATTGTTCAGTTCAGATTTGGTTCTGATCAAGTTCCACAACCTCTGTTTTTCCTTAGTGTTGTTTTCAAAATACATATTTAGAGACATGCTCAAAGTGACTACAGTCGTTGTTTGGATGTCACGACTCTCAAAGACAAATATACACACATACATTCTATTTGTTATTAACGGAAAAACTGTGAAAGGGGTCTGCATATTATTTCTATGCTTCCAACCTGCTGCCCTGATTTAAAAAATAAAAAGTGCAAGCAGTACACATCCACATAATGTCATCAAATCAAGAAAGCACAGTTTCTATGGCAACCTGATCCCGATCTATACATGAGCCTTTATTATCTGGTTTCTACTAAGTCTATTACCATTACTGCTGTACAGCAAATGTTGTGATCACTCACTTTTGTTTGGTTTCAGCTGTTTGTTAAAGACAATCTAAGTTATATTTGACAAAAGCTACTAAACAATCCATTGATCCCAGTTCTTTATTTAGTTCTACAGAAATACTGCAATATTCCTTTTTTTAAAGATTATTGAGTCTCACTATGTTCTGTTTTCTGTATGACAGTTATTGAAGAAAAAAATGGTGGCAAGGAATTAAATCAGCATTTACCAGTGGCAGACACATCAGTAGGACTGCTGTCTAGAGAAGTAACTGGAGATTGCTCTCCCATCTTTACTCCTGTTTCCATCTACGAAAGAAAATCAAAAGTCATGAAATACCATTTCTAAAGCAGATCACAAGTCAAACTAGAAATACACATGCATGTAAAAGAGAGGGAGAGGAAGGAAGACCAGGGGGAGAAATAGGGCTGGGTAGATCAAAACAACCTTAGGAGAAAATGGAAGGCATGGAGGGGAGGGGTGTGAGAAGGAATGCCATTAAAAACTTGTAAGGGCCTTATCAAAACCTTGGTTCGGTTTTGAGTATCTTCACAGATTAAGATAGCACAGTCTCTCCAGGCAACCTGTTTCAATGTTTATATCTCTACTAGGAAAGAAAAATGGACAAGAATTTTAAGTACCAACATGAGAACAATTGAGAATCACCTGGTTTGACTTCGTGTTTGATGTGGAACATTTTATTCTTCCTTATTCAAAGAAAATGACTTGTATTTAGTTTTAAAAATGCGATAAACGGAAACTGTTTTTTTAAAAAATTGAAACAATAGAGTAGTTTTTAAATCTTCTTTCTTATGGTCAACATTACCTCTTTACACTAATGGTGAGCTGTATGAATTAAAACAATTGTTGCACAGTCAAAAGGGGGAAAACCCCACATTCTTCTAGGACTCTGATTTTTAAGCAAAAATCTCACCATCATGGAGGAAGCGTAACTTGTGCTATTGTACTGTGCTCACACATATGCAGTCATCAGAGAGTACTTTATCTCTGGAATATATAACTATGTGTATCTAATTCTGAAACTTTACTTCCTAGAGAAACAGCAAGGAGAACTTTGTATCTAAGAACACGGTAAATGCTTATTTTACTTGATTCGTTTTCTTACCACAACTCAACTAATTCCTCTCATTGGTGTGGTTTACTCTACTGTTAAACAACAAGTTTTCTTAATACAGTGTATATGTATATATATATATACACACATACACACACTATATATATATATATATACACATATATACACTACATATATCAAGTCTTGATATACCAAAGAATTAATACTGTGCAGGAAAAAGAGCCCATCATTTTCTTACTAGAATGGAAATGGAATGAAAATAACCCTAAACCGAAATTCCAATAAAATTAAGAAAAACAATCATTTGCTTGCTTTACACTAAGAGCAGTAACAAGTATACTCACAGCATTTGGAGTGAGCGTTGAAACAAGCTTCCCGTTAGGAGATGCAAGAGAACTAAGTATTGCAGCCTGTTGCTCTCCATATGCTATGGAAGACGTTAAGAGGCTGGAAGGACGCTGCAGATTTTCTGAATAACTGGGGATATTTTTTTGCCTAATGAAAGCTATCTCCCAAAAATTTTCAAACCTAAAATTAAATTTTAAAAGTTTCAACATGTTGTAGACTATGCTGGTTATAAGATTAGAAGTTACTCTTGCAAAAACTACATTTCCCCACAAAAACTACATTTTCCCAAACACTGTAAGTTATTTTATTCATTATTTTTCTAAAAGGATGTTCTATTTCCCATCATTAAAAAAGGCAAATATTGTGGGTTTGGGTTTTGGTTTGTGTCTTCTTTTGAAAGGAATGAAAGTATCATAATTTTACAGGTCTAAAAAGGTGCATTTGAGTCTTTTTCTATGAAATAATATTGCACTTGAATATTTCAAAAAAATTAATATCCCTTGCATTTCCTCTACGTACACAACAAGACTAATCACAATAATCTGATCATAAATATCATACAATAAACCATTTTGGAAAGTTAGCTGTTTGACAGTAACAGATACCTCATCTTTGTCCGGTTGATTATACTTTTTGCCTCTTCATAGGAGACACCAATCATTGACTCTTTGTTTATGGACACAAGTTGATCTCCTGGCTTCAGTCGTCCATCCTAGCACAACAAATAATTAAAAAAAACCCAAAAAACAAAAAAACCCACAAATTTTATATTAATTGCTAACGCTATAGAAAGAACTGTATAATCAGAGAACTTTAACATGCTGCTCTGGATCTGTTAAGACGAGAAATATCAAGAACAGCTATATGTTTTGCCTGACAATCGTCCAGAAATGAACAGCAGATCAAGCGATCCTTCAATGACCACGATAGCAGTCATTACAAAAGCTTCATCACACAGAATGGATCTCAGATTCTGTGTAAAGACTTGGAACCAGATACATATTTCTGTTAAAAACCACAAACAAACCACAGACAGTAATTCTTCCATCAAGGATACCAATCCATCTGACTACAGGAAGCTTCTTTACTAATTAATTCAGCAGTGAGCTGGATTAATTTGTATTTCAAACCCCCATGTTCTTGGCCATACATGGGACTCTTCAGGCACTTATTAGCCATATTAATCTTAAGGAGAAAACCAGGTTAGTCTATTCGGAATTCACCAGTCAAAACCACAACAGAAATAATACTGTCAACTTTGTGCTTCTGCTGAATTCATTGCAAACTTTATACCAACACAGCAACATATCACATCTCTGTCTCAGAGACTGTAAGATAAGACTTTAAACACTCCAGGCTAGATTCTTCACTAAGATAAAGCTTTCTTTACTCACATTTTAAAAGAGGCCTCAACAATTCAACTGAAAATTCATGTAATTCAAAATTACACTTAACATGTCTGTGTTCTGCAGCTCTTAAGAAATTAATCACAGAGTCAATCTGACCATGTGAAACAAACTGTACACAGAAGAAGATACACAGGGAATAAGTAAAATACCGTTTCAAGACCAGTATAATTTTACATACTCAATACCCACATACCATAACTTTAGCTATGTTATTTCAAACCTATGATTGCACTTTACTACATCTTTTGTCACTGAGTGTTTTGGTTTTGATTGAAGAAAAATGTACATCTTTCACGTCGCTTGCAGCCAGCCTATCAAAAGATACCCGTGTCAATGCTGCCCTCGTGTGGCACCGATTTAACACACGCTTGCTACTTGGGTTTCTCAAACGGGATACCCAGCATTGGGAAAGAAACTACCTCTACTATTGCTAATATGAGAACCTACTGCAAATAGCCTCAGTCTATCGACTATGTCTGATAGGCTTCAAATTATACGTTTACAATGAGAAAAATGTTTTAGCAGCCAGAACAAAACAGGAGAAAAAAAGGAATTATTACCATTCATCTATTAAAAGAAGTCCTGGAGAAACATGGCATTTTTTTCCTCCCATCTTGACATTTTAGGATTAACCTTAATCTACAAAAATTCAGTCACAAATAGTTATAGACTGTTTTGGCGCAAAACTCATTGCTCGTGAAAAAAACTTGTACACTTTTTCTTGGCAAGAGACAAAACCTGCTTATCTACACATCAAAGTAACCATAACAACTCAGGATGCAAAAGGAGACACTTGGATAAACAGTTTTGTGTACTTGAACCAGACAGTTCTGTTCTTTTTTAAAACTGACAAGCCCTCCTGATTTACATATTGCATTTGTCATAAACAAAAACAGTAATCAGGACTGATTCATACATTTTATTAGTCTGCACTGTGAGACTTTTTTTTTTTTTCACTAATTCACCTACACAGTGCTTTCCAACTGCAAGGACCCATCTAAATTAAGTCTAAGGGAAAAATGTCCAAATTTTTCCAAAAAAAATGATGCAATCTGCACCTCTGTCCCATCCTTGCTGATTTACCTTGCATCATGCAACCTCTTAAAGAAGTTGACTTCTTACTTTCTCATTGATAAATTGGGGAGTAAGATCCTCATTTACCTCAAACGAACTCATGAATAATTTTAATTACCACGTAACCATGCTATGGTGCAATGAGATAATTCTGTTTAAAGAGAAAGCAAGGAGAAACACAAACACATTTTTTATTTAAAATACAAAATACATAAAAAACACTGAAGTAGCTACTAAATGAAGGCAAAAATACAGGTCACCGAAGTGGGAGGGAGGGGAAAAAAGGTCTTTACCTTATGACAGTCACCACCAGGGATAATTTCTTGAATATATACCAAAGGCCCTTCATTTCTGTTAATTCCTCCTACAATATTCAAACCTAGGCTCGTTCCTTTGCAAACGGAGATTATCTGAAATGCACTATCCCTATGAAGAGAAAGAAAGGTAGAATTACTTCACAGAACTACATACTCAATAAAGACTCAAGTGATAGAGTATCTTTATCTTACTGGTTTCACAAATACGTGTTACAGCAACCAACAGAAATAGCAGACAGTTAATCTCAATGTTCAACCATCACACTGCCTACTTACTACAAACTAAGCACCTTCAGGTGTTACTTTTGGCAATTACAAAGAGACCCAATATTTTTTTTACAAAATAAAAGCTCCTCTCTACTATACGTATGCAAGGCTTACGGGAGGACCTAGGTACACACAAACCAGAAGAATTAATTCATTAGGACACACTAAGATCAAAAGTCAACCTGATTAATCTACTTCTACCATGCAAGCAATAAAGAAATGAGAAAAATAACTTATTAAAACTGAAACTGTGCAGTACCAATGGTATTATAAGTTACAGGATTTAAAAAAAAATAATAATAATAAAAAAAGTTTAACACTTTGTGCTCAACCCCAAGTTTTCCCAACCAGTCAAATACGGCATTTTCTACAGCTCACACAAAGAAGTTACAGTCAGTTTTGGAAATTACTTTGCAAGCTTTGGGGATGGTGCTGGGACAGAATTATTTTTGCTGATGGTGGTGATATTATCCTTCGGATGCAACTGAGGACTCTGTGACCTTGAGGATGACCCAGAAGAAGGGCTGTCTATAGATTTTGCTTCAAGAAAAGCAACAATGAAAAAAAGAAATAAAACACATATTTGAGAAAAAGCACAAAATTTCACTCAAGTAAGTAAATTCAGTAGGATTATTTTCATGTTAGAAAGCAGACAAACTACAAGATATCAGACAACCAAAAGCAAGCTTATGTCTACACAGCTAAGACTGGCGAGTCGCTCAGGGTTCCAGAAATAATTCTTTGAAATACAGGAAATGAGGATTTTTTTTTCTAACTGAGTGCAAAAAAAAAAAAATCTCAACGGACTTTCCTAAAGAACAATCACTCATGCTGTATAAAGACATCCTAATTAGGCACAATTCCATGAGGATTAGGATTTATGGTATTCTAGCTCAGAATTTTTGCTTAGGACTTTGAAATTTTATGGCATAGTTCATCTACAAATATCAAATATTTTGCACATTATTCATTAATTAAAATTGCTGAAAGTACGTGGTAGTATATTTATTTTAAGAGTTGGGGAAACTGACACGCAAACCCCTCAAGTTACATGTTTAGATTGCAAACTAAACGTTACAAGGCTAAGTAAATGGGTTTTGTCTGGCTTTCAGTCCCTTCCTCCAATATAAACACCCCCCCAACCCCCCAAATGAGAAGAGTTTGAAGTACAAGCTTCTACTCCATCGAAGTATGACTACTGTCCTACAGGATTACGTCAGGCTAGGAAGCCATCTCTCACCAGCTGATAGTTGTGTTGGAGAACTCCTTGCAGAGTTGGTGTCACTGTGAGAGCCATACTTATCCATCAGGTCAAGAAATTCTTTCCTGCAGCAATAAAAAGATCCTTTTTGTCAGGCTTTGGCATTAATTTAAATGCACCCTTCGAAACCTGCCACTGCAGTTACCTTTCCTCAGAGAAGGAAGCTCAGCCTCGACTGAGAGAGGAAAGCCCTGCCCAACGTTCAGAAGAGGCAAGAAAAAGACAATGTAATACAGGAGGATAAGGGTGGAATAGCAATAGACTATGAACGCAAGGGACGACTGGTAGAAAAGCTTAATTATGACCTCACTTTTCTCTGGATTTCAAAACTTTAAAAACTTGTAATTCAAGTCAACTACAGATAAGACGACAGTGGTGTTACCTGGGTGCAGAGCAAGTTATTTATATTAGAAGGAATCAGATAATACACCTATAGCATACTCATATTTTTAAAGAATGCTTTTAGTTCAAGTATACTGAACAAGAACCCAGAAGAGACTGGCAAACAAAAATGTGGTGCCTCAAAATACAGGCTAGAAGAAATATTTATTAATTACTCAAAAATCAGTAAAACAGATGCAAATTTTTCACTTCTATTTAGCTTTCTCAGAAATTTGCAGTCTATTTTATCTGAGGTAGACAACATTATATATTGAATATTGTACGTGCTTGGGGTTTGCTTATCCTTTTCATCATGAAAACTTTTTTTAAAAAAACCAACATGAAATAAAAGGCAGTTCTTGGTCAGACACACTGTTGAAAAATAGTAATAAAAGATAAAAGCAGAAGTTCTTTGCAGAAACCAATCATATCGTAACAAACTCACAATAAAACATCAAAGACTTACATCCTGTATTACACGCACTCAAGAGAAAACAAAACCCCTTGATTAATCTAACACTGAATGCAGCCTAATCTAAAAAAAAATGTCTACAACCTGAGCTATGATTACCTCAGTGACAACAGATTTCAAAAATAGAAGTAATCGAGAATGATGCAAGCCAGAAACATCAGCAAATGAATATCACAGAATTAGAGAGAACATAAATTAACTGATTGCAGGGAACATAATTCCTGAGTAACTCCAGTGACTGCAGAGGGTTGTTGAAATCTGCTGGATGCATTATTTTTTAAAAAATGACAAAATTTAGTGAACTAATGCCAGACCCAGGGACCACACATAAACACAGTGGACTGTAAATTAAATCAGCTTTTAGCCCAGGAATGTACAGTCACAAGAAACTGATTCACAGGTGTCTGACTGAGGGACTGGATGTAGTGGCAAACTCTGCACAGGCCACTGGGTGTACCACCAGAACGGTAAAAGGACTGATGGATTTTAATTATTCAAGGAGTTTAGAGGAACTAGGTCAGTATGCTTTAGATAAAAGCAGATTAAGAGTGGACTTCGCATATATCTAGGCAGTCTGAAAAAAAGGAGAGATTAGAGGCTCCAGAGTGATTTAAATGTCTGCCAAATACAGTAATAAAAAAAAAAAAAAAAAAGGAGCAGAAAGCAGCAGCTTAAATCGGACAAAAGGCTAAAGGAATTTAGAGAAAATTCCTTTATGGAGAGATTAGTCTGTAAGTGGAACATCCCAGGAAAGGCAAATAACAGCAGGGAGTGTTGCAATGATTATCAAATATAGTTACATAACAGCTGTTTCCTCCAGAGATTTAAGCCAGAAGGGGATACAGACCTGGATCCCAGCATTTCCAATGAATCTCTGCCAATATTGGTTTATATGCTTAACTTTAAACAGCTTAACTTTTAAAGTAATATTTAACATAAAAGTCCTTATAATGGACGTATTTTGGACTACCTGCTGCAGTGAACAGTTTAACCTACTTATCCAAACTAACTCAAAGCTCATTAAAGACTGAAAAGCAAACTTCTGACAGGAAACAATAACTAAATCTGCCTTTTTTCAGAAGGCAAGACCAGCTTAAATCCTACAGTTTCGTGGTACTGTAGGTCTAATGGATTCCTCATTTTCATTATTTCAGAATGTGAGAAGTATTAAGAAAATTATCACAGCAAACAATTTTAAATGGTATTAGCTGGTAACATAAGATTTCATTCATCTTCATTAAACTGAAATTGGCCTGAGCTTGCTACTTTATTGATGCAAATGGTCTCAGAATGAATTTGTATCAAATACTACACAGAAAAACGTGACGTGTGACGCAATTTTGTGATTAAAAGTAATCTGAAAGAAAAATACATGCAAACCTGCCCACCCAACCTTAGATGTAGCGCTGGCTTTTTATTAGTTTTGAGGTTAAAACAATGCTTTATTTTTCTCTTACTTTGCTTCTTCATCTCTAGCAACCAGCAGAGACATGTGATTAGACGCTGATGCTGTTCGCAAGATGTCAACAGCCCTAGAAGGGGGGAAAAAACAACCAAATAAATGTAACAGTGCTGTCAAGAGGTACACGGGGAGTATCGCTGAAAGAGCAGGAAAATGGACAAATTCTTCATGTAGTTAATCATTCTGACTGCCAGATACAGACAGAAAAGCTTGCAGCAGCATAACCCAAATCAAGCATTGGAGATCTGAGCGAAAGACAGACTGTGGGGAGTCTGCGCTTGGTGGACGGAATGAACTGGGATCGCCCTCTCTTTCCTTTCCCTTTTGTCCCCCTCTCTGCCATCTCTCCTTGGTCCATCCTACTGCCTTCCTGGACGTCCTTCAGGATTAACAGCCTACACCAGAGAAAAACCACTACTCAGGTATGCTTCACTGCTCGGGATTTCCCTCAGCAACATATACCGTAATTTTTCCTTGTATTTTAAATTGACGTCTCCAACGCTAAGCTGCATTGATCTCCGGCGATCCAGCTACAGAAACCATCCAACACGTTCTCCAGATTTTTTGAAACAATTTCTCCTTCATTGTCCCATTACAATGATACTTGTTACCTGCATCATTTACATTCATCGGTATTGAACCAACAGACAATTGTAAAAATATTTTAACAGCTTAATATGTTTTAATGCTGTTTTCACATACATCCTGTAATCTACATCATTAAGAAACGAGCTTATTCTGTCATTATAAAAGCATATAAAGTCTTGTCACTTTTCCACGATAGTTTTGCTGAATTAGATTTGCAGGATAAATTCATCACCAGCTGAACTCCAAGGACCTCAGTGGAGTTGGGCTCTTTCAATCAGATGTCAGTAATGTTCAAAAAGAATCTGCATATAATATCCCAAGCTCTAACAAACGTTTAGCAATCAGTACCAACTCACCTTTCATTGGTTACTCCAATTAAGTTTTCTCCATTGACATCCAAAATTAGGTCTCCAGTGAGCAAACGGCCTTGTAACGAAATCAACAGGAAAATGGTGAACAGTAATAAATACCTCACAGTAATAAAACAGGGCTTCAGGGCTTTTTTCTTTTAACTTTACGTGACCTAACGCAATAAACAACCTTATGACTTTTAGCAGATTAGGTTCTGATCCTAATTAAGCTAGGTTACTATAATAAGGCTAATAACTATCAATCAGTCTTATTAAGCACAGAATAGCCACTGAAAATAAGTGTTAATTAGCTATTTGTATTATTTACACATAGCACAAATATTTGTGGGACTGGAATTTATATTTCACAGTTGTGGAACTAACTTTCAGCTGCATTTTGTTCTAAACGTACACGTCAGTTACCACCTACAGATACATTCATGTTTTATACATTAATAAAGACATCCAAAATTTTTTTTTGAACAAATTCTATTTTTAACCTTCTGCAAATCTCAAGTTTAAGAACTCTCACTTTTGAAGTAGATTATTTTAAATGATCATTCCGCACAAGACCAGATGGAATCTCAAACAACCCCATATATAGAATATACTTCTGTCCTAGGTCTGTAACTTTATTACCGCAGACTCTACCTAGCATAATTTCTTCTTTCCACACCAAAAATCTTAACTACCACTTAAAAAAAAAAAAAAAATAAAAATTATCAGAACTCATTAAAAACACTAGTTCTATAAAGGAAAGGCCACTCTTACCCCCTATGAATTACAAGAGGTTCGGTATCTCAGCACTTATTTAGCAGTGCTGAAAGCTTGCCAGTTGCGTTCACACCAGCCATACCTCGATCTGAAGACATTTTCAACAACCAAGAGTATTAAAATCTTTTCCCATGAAGGGTCCAAGATTCATTTCTCTATCTTAAGGTAAGCCACAACATCATGAATCCTGACTAAACCATGCTACTTTGAATAGCCTTATCCACAAAGCAAACCAGACTTCTTTGGACAGATTTTTATATGCAGTGTGTTCGTAACAAAAATTTTAAAATTACTTACTATCTACAGCAGCAACCCCTCCAGGTAGAATTCTCTTTATGAAAATCCCATAATCTTCTGCTGTTTGTGCCCGATAACCTCCAATAATTTTAACTCCTGCAAAACAAACAAAAGAAAGAGTTTATTCCACCTACTGTGCTAAATGGATTTACAGTCAAATCCATAAAAGCCAGATAAATTAAACTTCTACTAATGACAGTGTGAACTGCAAAAGCTCACCAGGTGCTTTTCGATTTGGGTTACAGAATGTGCAATCTAATTACCTAGTCCATTTTGACAATCAGAAAAAGAAATGCGGTGAACAGCTCGATTGATTCCATGAGGGCCCATAATAGTCCTAAGGAATAAAATAAAAGCCATTAAATCCCTAATGACAGAAACATATGTAAAGATACGTTACCATAAAGGAAACTACAGTGACCCTGTTTTTAACTCTAATACAAACCAAAACCAGTTCTCTCCACTGACAACCCCGTATTGTTTGATACCTCTGCGCCACCCCTTCCCCCAATGAAAAGTCAATCTCCTCATAACAAGTATAACATGGTAAGATAAAATAAAGTATATGCAGTTTATTTCCTTTTCCCCAAAAGCATTTCAGGCCGAATTGTGAATCCCACTTTGTTTATAATAAGAAGGTTATGACTAAATAGAAACAAAATCCCACAACCTGGTCCAGTGCAGCATTTAGGCAAGAAAAACACATCATAACATCTTAGGTCAGGTAGTGAATATTAAAATAAAACCACAGCTAAGATACTGTATACAAAAATATTTATTAAGAGATATAACATATAATTGTGTGGTTATTTATGAACGTAGACTTCTCCCTAACATCTCTTGTTTCTTCACTCAACACTTTTCTTTCTGTTTTAAAAAACACTTCTTTCCAAACTCTATTGCTTGCTCCCCTGTGCACCCTCCCATACCAAGACAAAATACCAGGATAGCACTACAGCACTTGAAATTGTCTAAAGGCAGATGAATATTTTGGGAGGCAGTTGACAATGCTAAAGAATTAAGGAAGAATACCAAGTAAAATTAAGAGTTTTGAAACCTAAATTTACAGTTCCATTGGAAACATGACCGGCTTACTGCTCTCAGAATGCAAACTGGTAACAATCCTTATAAATCCATTGCCCTTTACCATTTATTTTTATTTAGATGAATTATTACAAAAATTTTCAAGTTGTATCATAGCTCCTTTGTCCTCCCACTGTACCATTTTTGGAGAAGGCTCACCAGATCCCTTCTAGAAAAAGGCAGAAGCACCACGTAGGTTTCTCTGATTTGACCTACATATTGTTCTATATTAGACAGTGAGTTGCATTTTCTAGAGCATGATGTTAAAATGAAATGGAACAACTAGAATTCATTAGCAGGGGGGGGAAAAGAAGATCAAAGTGGAGGACACAGTGACCCAAATCCTCCCACGCAACCAAATCCTGCACGCAGCCTGAACTCCATGCCTGAAACAGAGTATTTCTGCAAACACCAGAGTACATCATTCAAAGGTGCCGTGCCAGAGGGACGAGAGAAATCCAGAAGGTCCAAACGGTCCTAAACTGTAGCACCAGGCAAGAGATCCAGCTTCTAAAGAACAGCCACAATTCTTTTGGTTTTGTGTAAGAAAACTGGACGTGTTTTTCATCAAGGGATACGCGCTTGCGCTGAAAAGCAACGCTTTATTCCACAACCTCAAATTCCCAACTATTCGCAAAACTAACCTGTGTTTTAGAAAGGCTGGCCGTAAGAACAGACCTAATGATTCATCTTCAGAAACAAACAGGAAGCCTGTGCTTCAAACATTGTATAGTTTTCCCTGTAACACTTCTTGAGGTATTTTGTTTCACAGGCTAAAAAGAAACGATGAAACCTTGTCAGTGTATTTGGCCACCAACAAGACTGCGTGTGCCCTTGCTACTACCTGTCCAAGCGTAAGGCGCACTCTGTAAGGCCAAAAGGGAACTGAACTGCTTTTACGCAACCACAGTCTAAAAGGAAGAATAAATCCTTAAGTCTGCTTTTTCTCTAACAAATCTTTGTGATAAACTACTCCTACACTACAACAGCAGAGTCGTTTGCATTACCACCTAGTACTGTCACTTCAGTTACGTCACGAATTTAAATGGTTTTGAAAGACAACATACTAGTCACATTCTTTACAGGTCAGTCCTGATTTGCATCTATCTTTGAAAACCTGAACAAGGTACGCTGATCTTTAAAATAAGGAGACAATCATTGTATTTTTTTCTGTCTTCCCTTTTGCCACCACTGTTGTTTCTTGCCCAGCCATGCTCTCAGCAGTTTTCACATAGCAGTTGTTTATTAAAATAAAAGAGCAAGAACAAGTGTTACTTCAGCCTCACACAGAAGTTTACTTTTGTCAAGTCTGAAAAGATCAAATCTCAGACTTGAAGGCAAAAGTTCAGAGTTCACCAGAAATCGCAGAACCTATTTTTACACTACCATATAAAATGATCATGAAATACGATCAAATCTAGGCACAGAACACTTAACAGGATCTACATTTCTAGAAGTAACAGGCAATACTTTCAAAAGAGAGATCCCAACTCACACAAAATGGATTCTGACAAAGAGGATACAGAGAATATTCAAACTAACAATTCACAACGGAGAGGAACTGGGTATCTCTGAAACAGTGAAAGTGTCATGATGTTGCACCAACAACGAGACAGAACTGAGACTTTGAACAGACACCTTTACAACACATTCAGTTGGGCTTATGCTCTAAAGACTAAATCCCTCCAACACATGCCGTTTAAAGTTACTTTATCACATAAAAGCAAAGACAAGGATCTTCAAATGCCCCAGATTTGCTTAGTCTATCACATCTTGCTGACTTTCAGCGTTAGTTTTTCTCCCATAGAACTTCGAGATGGATCTTCAAGTCAAGCTACTTGTCATAGTTCTAATAAAATAAACAGGGCTTTAACAGTTTCACTATGAAAGACTTGGACTTAGCACCCATCCAACATTTATTTCATATTAGCATTCTTTAATATTCATGAAATATTAGAATACTTCCTCCAAAAATATTAGAAATATGCTCCACAGTATAAATAAGGAAACAGGCTTCTAAATCAATTGGCAGTAGTAACAAAAAATAATTTCAATGTTTTTTGTAGAAAAAGATGCAAATTAAATAACCAGACGTCACTGCTCATTCTTTGAGAAGTCATACAAAAATACTGGTAGGCAAGCTTTTACCGTACAGAGAAGAAAAGATGTGAGGCAATAGATGAAATAAAGAAGCAAGACTCTACCAAATGTATACTACAGCTTTGTCACACCAAAAAAGTACTAAACTCGACACTCCAACTCAAGTCCTGGAATGCTAAGAGACTGAGTGCGTTTAATTTTGTATAAATGTTCTAGTAAAGGCAATCAAAATGAAAATTTTCACACTTTTTTTTTCTATTACTTTTTAGCAGCTTACACAAGGAAGTTCAACAGCTTTATGGTTTATATCTTCCAGAGATTTATCAGAACATACAGCTGCGGATATTCTTCTGATCTGTATTCCGGAGAAAATATTAGTCAGTTATGTGCACAAACAAAACATTTATCTAGGTTCATCAACGGAAGAATAATAGCCTTCCCCCACAAAACAGACATTACCTGACACTTAAACAACAACCTAAATTATAAACTCTGGCTGCTTGCGAAAAGAAGCTGAAAATGTCTTCAGCTTTTAAATTATCTTTACTGTACTTTTCCCAATTACAGACTAGAAAAATGCCATCAGAATCTAATAGTTAAGCATACCAGTATAAGAGAGAAAGACCATCAAAACGCTCTGGTTCATCTTCATCTCCTGGTGAGAGTAAGGACATTCTTCAGCACAGCAGCAAAGCAAATGGCAAAGCGACCAAAACACACTGGAGGTTTCCAGTTCAGCCAGATAAAGGTTACGTGCAGGACAACTTCTGCCACTAACTAAAAAACCCCACAAACCAGACAGAGCTCGAAACGAGTGTCCCTGCCTACTTAATCTCCTCTGAAACCCTCTGCGTCACATGGACTAATTCACCTATCAAGGTAGCGGTTACTTTTTCTCCATTTCACATGGCAATTTACAGCAACTTCAGTGTCTGACCAACACAAAGGAGAAAGATTACTTGCATTTACTACAGCTGTGATTGTGCAATCGACATCTAGCAGCCGAAGGCAAGCGAAATATTTAAAACAAAATAAACTTATTTTGTCATGTTCTACCAATAACGTACTTACATGCTCCCTCCAAACAAGGTCAAAAGCAGTAACTCGTGACCTTTCTAAACCAATCTCCCCAGCAGACTTATGTACATCCACACACAAAAGGGAAAGCCAACAAAGCAGACAGACTGGATGAAACAAACGCCATCATGCTTTTACTTCACATTCTCAGTCACGGTACTGACCTACATCACGCTTTAACTTGGGTTTTGGTCTTTCAAGACACAACAGTCAGAAGTTAACGCAGAACTTGGGTTACATATTTTCTCTAGAAACGGAAGATGACACATCTGTTCTTTGGTGAGGGGAAATAAAAATGGTGAATTTCTGTCATTACACTGAGAATAATCTAGTCGAAAAAGTAAAAAAATATATCACTGTTCCCAGACAGAAGACTCTCTTCTGATACAAGGCTTGGTCTTGCAAAGATACGTGTGTTTTCGCAAATTCTGACTTCAGTTTGGTTAACTACTATTTTCTTCCAGGCTTGCATCAGAAGACACACTCCTATTACTCCTCCTCTTTCTAAAAGATAATAAAAGGATCGCAGCTTAAAACGAAACCCAAATATTCTGTGTTCACTGAGGGCTTTGTTTAATTAGAGGTGAATCCTCTCTAGCAGGAAGTAACCCTGTGACGAGACAGCATCTGTCAGCGTCTGGAGCTGCGCAGGAGGACAGCTTGGCTCTGGCACGAATCTGGCACCTTTTTTTTAATTTAAAGTTGTAGTGGCAGTGGTTCCATTAGCCCATGATTGTTCCGGGGAAAGGATCGTTCTGCTTACAGGCAGCGTGCTCTGCAGTGTTCAGATGCACAGAGGTCGGTCCCGAGAGCCTGCAGCCTGCCCACGAGAGGGGCAGCAGGGTAAAGTGACCCACCACAGATTAAGGAGCCGGTCAGTGATGGACGTGGGAACATAAAGCAGCCTCCCCAGCTCCCGAAATGTGAAGAGCCCCACTGGCCTTGTTTGGATTGCTCACATCCACTCAGCGATGAATAACCTGGCCCTTTGCAGCCCTTTCTCAACCAGCTTAACTCTGCTGGTGTTACTGGTGTCGCAGTGCGACGGAAGAAGAGCCATTGATACTTTAAGCATCACATCAGTTCGGTTTGTGCTGGGCAAGGTTACCCATGGAACACCAACAGCCCTTCTCCAATAAAACTGTCCTGTTCTTAACGCCAGTGGAATTCCACGTCTGGTACCAGTATCGGGAACATTTGTCAAAACAAGGCACTAAGCCAATAACAGCTGGTTTCCAGTGTCATGTTTTCTGCAATAGAAACAAGCCCCCCCAGCTCCAAGTACGGCTCAAGGCTATGTGCTTCCATTATTAACAAGGAAAACAATTATTCTTATTAAAGCAGGTGTGACAAACCTCCGAACAGTTTAAGCAGCTATAAAGCAGTGTTAAGCTTAGTGCCCCACCTCTTTTGTATGTTATTATCAGTAACACACTGCTTGTTCAGTTGCTCCTCCCTCCCTTCTTCAAAGTAAACCATGCCCTTCAGCTTCCTGAACTCACCCCCTAAGCTTCTGTCCCTTTTTACCTTAAAACTGTGCTGCTGTGCTGGTTTTAATGTTTTTAAAGGATTCACACAGAAAAATGGTATTACTGCTTCTCTTGCAAGTTCTCTGCCTTTCAAGAACATACTCAGGGGAACAGAAATTATTTTTTACTTCCAGAAAGATCTAGGAATACTGCACAACATAAACCTCCACAAAGTCTAGTACCAGTTAGTAAGACTGAATTTTCAAGAGACATCATTTGTTATTTTATGCAGCAAACAAACTAAGATTCTTTTTCAAACAGCTTATTCAAACAGAATAGTAAACTATTCTGTTCTGGCAACAGTATTAATTATGACTCACCTTTCCCAAAGGGAGTTTTGTAATGCTTCAGCAACTGAGCTGGATTACAGGATAATTTAGCAGATGACAAAAAGATTTGCAGAATCTACGGAAGCACGATTCACAAGATCTTTTTGTTATAAATAAAACAAAGGCTTTTTCACAAAAATCTTACACATGTCAATTATGCAACTATAGCCTTTTGGGTTCACTAACCCTAAAAGGTAAGAATTCAGTATGATGCTAAGGACCACAGCCGAGAGAATACTGTCCCATAGAGCATGAACAAACACACACTCCTGATCTATCCAAACCCACTAATTATTCAAAATGCACTTTGCTGATTAGGTCATGAAGATTAAAAGAAAACGTATGCCATTACACAGCAACTGTTAAACATGAAAAAAAGCCTGAGCGACACTGTAATTGTGGAGAAGCATGAATGGTTTGAGGCTAACCCCTTGTGCAGAGAAGAAAGGTATCATTTAAAGCTCAGGTAAACCTCAATTAACATATAACCAAGTACATTCTTGAAGCATTGTGCATTGGTACTGTCTCACAGAAAAAAAGTTAAATAAGTAAGTACAGAAAATTATAGTCTTCCATCATCACATAGCTGAAGTGCAGTTATATGCACCTTTCATGTTCAGCTCTTAGGAGAAAAATTGCCTCTGGAATACAGTGATCCAGTAACTACGCATCTGATACACCCTCCACAGGGAGCCAGCACGCCACAGCTGTCCTAAAGACGTAGCTTGGCCTTACACACCCTTATTTCTGTTGGACAAGCAGTTTGCTTCTTCAGATTCCAGGAAAAAGCAAGTTAATTTTTTTAATGTTTTGTGGATTTATTTTTTTTAACTAAGTTATTTATGAGGTGGCATAATTCAAAATCTCTACTAAATTGTTTGACAGTACTTTTGAATACTATTTGCTGGGCTCTGTTGCACAAGCACAGCAAACATGCTAGTCCAGCAAGAGCTGTCTGTGCCTGTTTTCCATCGGGGTTTTGTTGATAGCATTGGCATTTGCCGTTTGGGAAGGGTCTGGAGTCCCGATTTTCAGTCACGACTGAATCCATGTTTGCCATTCAGACTCTGATCCAACTTGAAGTGCACAACGTCACGGTTTATAGAATGGTTATAACTACCATTAGACATGCCATGGCTCTGCTAAAAGCCAAGGTGGTTCCAAAGCACCACACACAAAACATTCAAGGCATCCAGACGCAGTGTTCTGAAAAAGTAATGCTCTGTAACACGTCAGCTCCAGAGAGCGTCTTATGTTACTGCAGGTGCCCTCCACGTGGAAGGAAGGAATTTGCTACATAGCTTTTGTCTTCACTACACATTGAGGAATTTCTACGTGGGGTTTTGTCTCTACAGAACCAGTCCCAACCAAGTGCTGATTAACTTATTGAGAGCTATTTCTTCCCTTTATGCGTAAATTGACTGGTGGTACTAGCTTTTCTAAGATGTTGCTTCAGACTGTTTCAATATCAAAGTTATAAATAAGTCTTCATCAAAACAAGATCCTACTAATGGACTTGCAAGAATTTTCAGTTTACTATCCAGGAATTGGTGTATTCCTGTGCGCGGGGGAAAAAAAGTACTTACTTTTTCTCTGTATTTGTTAGGGGATCTGCAGTGGACATCTTCTTAGGCGCACTATTTTAATAAAGGTTCAGAATGAAGAATTCTGACACATGAAGCACTGGCTCGTAACCAGGATAATACTTGCTGTAAAAAAAGGAGAAACCACTGTTTGCAATTTACATGTCTGTGTTTATTTTCAGACACTGACAACCACTCTTACTACCAACTAGCTTTCATGAAAACTTTCATGATAAAACAGAACCCTCCATTGCTGAAAACAAGCAAGTAGTTAACAACCCAGGCTTTGCTGTGTATCGTACCAAAACATCTGATATCCTCATTTCCTCAGAATTTATGAGGTAGGAATTACAGTAAATCAGAATGCCCTGTGGTTAAAATCTTCTAAAAAATGAAGTAACTGAGATTACAACTCCAAGATAAAGTAACTGCTAGAAGGCAAAAACAATCTCCTTGTTTGCCAGAGAAGGTTACTTGGGAGCGAATGTTGTTTTGAACATGATAAAGTGTTTTGTGTGCCTCGTTTTCTCACATTTTTCTAACTGGCTAGTATTCAGTGCCTAGAGAATTCTCACGTGAAGTTATGTAAGACATAGGCCAAAACGCACACAAAATGGGGTTGTGTACCACTAACATAGCAAAAAACCCAGTAATTCACACTGTATTTTTATTTGCATATATAATAGGCCAACAAGAAATAAAATCCTAAATGAATGGAGGTACAATAAATTGAAAAATTATTGTGAAAGCACTAATGCAAAAACATCCGTTTGTATCAGTAGCAAATCTTCTTGACCTCATGAGCTGTACGGCTAAACGCTCACATGGCCGGGAACCAGAACAGGTATTACTCCTAAGGCACCGTACAAGGCGGGAAAGGAACTCTCTGAACAACGCACAGGCAAAAGATGGCCACGGGTGCTCGTGGCACCAGGGACACGCTACACACCTAGGCTAATATAAAGCAGGGTCCCCACAAAAACACACTGACCGATTCCTGCAGGTCTGTATTTCTGCATGAAAAAAAAAAAAGTTAAAATTCACTTTGGAATACCACCAATTTTCCTGCTGTAAATGTTTTCAGATCTCTCACTTAAGGATCAAAAAACCGCCACGTAAATACAGAGGAAAACATCACAATATTGCTTCGCTCCGGGCTTTATCGTTCTCTTACTCAACACATCTAAACGGAAAATGAAGCAGCATCAGGAGCTGCCAAAGCCAGTGGGGATTCACATTACAGGAACCAGCCCAGGAGCAGAAAAGCAGCGCTCCAGCGCATCCCCTTCAAGCCCTGGTACAGCCAAGGCTGCTGCAGTGCAGGGGGCCCGTCCCGAGAAGAAAGATCAGCTCGTGAATTCGCCTGACCTTGCCCGTCCCGAGGTGACAAACAGCGCCCGGTCACTCTGCAGCGCGCCAGTATTTGTGCCTCAACAAAACCAAGTCAGCACACGGAGAGAGGAAACTCAACACGAAACAAAGCACCGCTGGGGAAAAAAAAAAAAAAAAAAAAAGTAACGACGGGTGTCGGTGTCCACTAGGCAGGGAGACAAAGGGATGAAGGCTCCCTCTCCGTGAAAACACCCTCGCACCAGGCAGCGGACGGCACC